ACTAAGTTACAAAATTTTGGCAAACCAATACCGTACTCTTAAATACAATAAACTAATATTTCTGTGGAGTCATGTATTACTTTAGTGATCATTTTCCCTCCAAAAATATAATTTAAGTACCAAATCAAAACACTGTGGTTTCTAGCAGAGCACATTATTTTATACAAATTAATGTGTTTTACAACTATACCATTCCTTCTTTTAAGTGTGCTCCTCACACACAGTCTAGTTTGCCGCAGCTCAGCAGCTGTGTGCAGGTAAAGGGCGGCTCTGTTTTATTCTGGGCGTGGTCTACAGCAGGGAAAGTCCCACTGTGTGAACAGCGTCAACCTTCTACCTTAAGAAGATTCACTGTCAATACCAATTTTTCCAAGTACTTTTAAAAAAAGTTACATTTTCACATAAATACTGGAACCCTAACAATTAGTCATTTCAAGTCATGCATCAGATGATCCCTGTGATTTAGAACCTCTGTATCTTTATGTTTTGATAAAAATCACATAGCCTTACTCCAGTTTATCAAAAAATTTCCACCTAAAATATAGTTGTTTTTTTAAAAATAACAAATAAATATATTCTTAGCTTGGAGAGACCTGACGCTGTGTGTCAACTTTACCATTTCTCTGCAAATGCTGCTGCCGCCGTATTAGTGTCTTTATGTTTCCTCTTGCTGAAGCTGCCAGTTCTTCAATCTCAGCATTTATGTATTACCCATTCCATTGCTTCTGGCCTTACTAGCATTTGAAGGTATTGTGCTGGCCACTGCTGAGGCTGACTCCCTTCACCGTGATTACGGCTTCCTCAGTCAAAACAGTTTTTTCTGGGTTCTGAGGATGTGGTTTGCACATAAATCTCTCATCTACTGAAACCATATTTGTAAATGAAGTACTAGTAGATTTAAGTTCCATTGTTTTCTCTGCAAGATCAACTACAGAATGTTCTTTGCACAATGGTTCTTGCTGCACCAATAATAGACTTCACAACAGAAGGAAGCAGTCCCCACTCTGTGCTGAGAAGTCTGTGGTTGTGCAGTTTTCTAGAAGGATCTACATGTCTGTCCAGCACATCAGCTCTGACCACACTCAGGTTCATAGGGTTTAGGTATTTTTGCATCACGGCTATTGCAACAGTTTCCCACGAGTGGTCGAATACATGCTCTGAAGTCCAGATCTTCATAGTGCCAGCAGCCTACTTGATGGTCAGGTGGTGCTGGGGACAATGGTCATCAGTTTTTGATACCAATATTATACTGTATTTACCCAGAGGAAAAAAAACTCTTAAAAATCTTTACAAAACCCTGATGATACATGATAGCTCAATATGTTTCCAATGTTGTTACTTTTTTCATGTCTTCATAATTTATAAAACACTTAAATGTATTTCTTCTGAGACAAATGATGTATATGGTTGACTCTTCTCTAGGATTCTTTGCATTTCTGTTTTTAAAGCAGTGTATTATTCAAGTTCTAATAGACTAAACTATAATGACAAAGATCATGTAGTATAGCAGTAACACCTTGCAGACATCCTGGGGAAATGGACTGGAGAGGGTTGTTGGAACTATATTTTTGGGAGTATAATGTACTCTCTCACTTTTCCAATGCCAAATGTTTTTCTAATCATCTTCTGCTGGTTTCATAGGCTTAATTATGTCTTTTTATAAATTGTCAGAATAAGAGGCCATTAGCTCCTCTTCAGATATTTTGATCATGAGATATTAATTACACAATAAGCTACCATCTTAAATTTCATGGCTGCATGGTAGTATCTATCACAAAAGACCACCAGAACCACAACCTTGCACCAAAGCAACTGCAATCTTACAGAAAAACTACTTCTGTGAGTACATCTATCTAGTAACTGCTCAGTCTCACCGCCCTCATCATTGGTTCTTGTGACCAAGGATTATTCTTTTAGAATATGTAAGCCTCCTCAGTTTAGCCTTCAAAACCTTTTCCTTACCGCAACCCTTTCATAGATGTTTACTATGTTTACTATGACAGATATATTTCCATTGCAGTGCTCTGGCATTCCCAAATAAGTATAATTATTCTTTGGAGAATCTCTTGCTATTTGAGTTATTTGAGCTGGTGGTATAAAATGAATGAAATACTTTTCTCCAGGCTCTCTGACTAATGCACTCTTTATGGTTATATTATTATTTGTATAAATCATTAACTGACCTTTCTAACTACTTGAATTTTTCCTTTATTTCTTTTTCTAAGAGTTCTTGTTCTATTTTTTATCCCATGATATATAATCGTCAAAAGAAAACCAGTTGTCATACAAATCTTTCACATTCTATATTTGGTTAATTTTATCCTCTTAATGTTGTTTTATAGACTCTTCTACATCTTTTTCCCCATATAAATAATTGGTAATTAGTTCTAAGATTTGCTTAGACACAAGTTTTTAGTTTATAAGTCATAGGCAATACCATGTATATATCTGTACTGTACGACACCAAGTAGAACATATCTGGTTGTCACACTTTCAGCAAGGTTTGGATTGATCAGTATATTTAATTATTGCCAGTCTGATCCAGTCATTGTAAAATTCCCCACCATCCTTTTGACTAATGATGTTAGCAGCTATGATAATCAATTGCCCAGATTCATTGTTTCATGGGTTGATGACAGTGATTTTCTAACTTTACCATTTCTTTTAAATTTGTTAGTTGCAATTTTTCTGTACAAATATGTACTATATAATATACAAAATGTAATATTTTTCCATTCACTTACTTACTAGAACTGTCTGGTTATCCTGAAATATAGCCTTGATGGGAAAGGCAAGATCATTGATTTATTTTTCTCCATTATTAATTTTAGAATAAATGGTGCTTAGTAACCCCCAAAACTAATTACTGTTTTTAGTGAAATACTAGGTTTTTAAATATTTGATGTGTTTCAACATATTTGAAAAGTTTTAAGTCAAGTTAACTAAAAAGGAAGCTGAGTTCTATTTCAAACACTCACATTTGAAATGTCTGAGTAGCCTAGTTCAGTTTTT